CAGGGAGAGGCAGGTGTGCAGAAAGTCAGAGACAGACACACTGGCTGAGGAAAGAGAGACTCAGGAGTGAAGGGGAAGGGACATAGATTGGGGGACAGAGGGGAAGGCAGAGACTCAGGAGTGAAGCGGAAGGGACAGAGACTGGGGGACTGGGGAAGACAGAGACTTAGGAGTGAAGGGGAAGGGACAGAAATTCAGGGGACAAGGAGGAGACAGAGCGCGAGCGTGCGCGCGTGTGTACCAGGGCAAGGGCCGGGAAGGGACTGAGCCTAGGGCAGAGAGGAGGCAACGGGAAGGACTCAGACTCGCGCCAAGGGAAGGGAGAGGAAGGGACGTGAATGGACAAGAAGCGACCGGGACTCGGGCCGAGGGAAGGGACGGGAAGGAACCGAGACTCAGGCACAGAGGAAAGGGCGGAAAGGACAGCAGGGCGACAGCGGCGGAAGAGCGGCCGGGAGCGGCGCCGGGCTCACCTGCGCGGCGGGGCGGCGGCTCCTCGCACTCGGGGCTCATCGGGGCGCCCCCCCTCGCCCCGCCGCCGGCGGCTCGGCCCCGCCGCGGGCCCGGACCGTGGGGCGGGGGCGGCGGCTCGCGCAGGCGCCGCGACGGGCTCGGGGCGCGCACGCGCCCTCGGTCAGGCCGCGCGGGGCCGCGCCGAACTTTGGGACCGCGGCGARGGCGGCGACGGGTGGCGAGGCCCGCGAGGCGCCTCCGCGCGCAGGGACGGGGAATTCGGCTGGGTTCCCGGCCGAGCCGGCGCCCGCGAGAAGAGAATACGTCCTCCTCCGCAGCCCGAGTGGACCGCAGAGCTGCACAGCGGCCAGCGGAGGCCGACGCCCGCTTCCTCAGCCGACGCCTCCCCTGAAGCGGCTCGGTCTCGGGCCGCAGTTCGCCTAAGCACCTCCGACGCCCGGCTCGCTCCGCCACTATCCCATAATGCCCCGAGCGCGAGCGGCTGCGGAAGCCCCGCCCTCCCGCCGCCGCCTCGCTGCGCAGGTGCGCTGGGGCTGCTCTCCTGATGCACGCAGTGCGCTTGCGCTTGTCCCGACGTCCGACCCCGCCCTCCGAGTACTCAGCCTCCGCCTGTGCGCCTGCGCTGGGCGTGTTCGCGTTCTGTGTGAAGAAGCTCAGAAGGCYAGTGTGCAGGACCCGCCGTCGCCCGGGACCTTCGCGCCGCCCTTTCGGGAAGCCACTAAGCCCAGTGATCTTGCTACTCCATGGCTTCTCTCCCCGATCGGTCTTCCATCCGCGGTTCCGCTCCTCGCGGCCCAGTTCTGCTTGGGCTGTAGGGTCGGGTCCCGAAGCGTCCATCCCGGCGTGACCCTCCCCCACTCCCCCTGGCCCTGCTTCTCTGGCGCCGCCTTCTCTGTGGCTGTGGCTGACTTCTGTCCTGCTCCTGGGCGGACGCCACTTCTCTAGCCCAGAGCTGCACAGGGTCCTCCCACACCTTGTGTTCACGCAGGTCCATCTGGCTCTGAGCCTCAGCTGCCCCGACTTTATAGCTCCCTCCCTGCCCATCTTAGAGGCCTCGTGTGCGGGTTAGAAGTGCGTTAAGGAATATAATTTGCTTTTAAACCTGCAGATGGATGTTTTTTCATTTTAGGGACATTTTGTTGAATCATGTATCTGAGTTATGTTCTTTTCTGTATTTCAAGAAGCCAGTTATACATTCACATCTGCCAACTTCTAATGGCTTTAATCTTTGTCGTATCCCCCAGCATCCACTGATTAATGCCTGTCAGTAATTTGATTTTTTCAGCCATGTCTTTTCTGGTCCCTGCTAGAAATATCTAGTGTGTGTGTTATGCTCAGTTTTGCTTGGTCCTTATATCTGGCAGCTTGTTCTGCAGGACAGATTATCTCAATGGCATGGCATGTGCCATGTTCACAGCTTGAACCTGCACATATGCAGGCTGGCAAGACTGTGCTCCCCATGTGTCATGGCTCAGATGCCAGAGAGCCTGGGCCCAGCTGCATTAGTGTATTTTAAGTCCACCGTCTCACATCAGCCACCATCTTTTGGTTAAAGGAAGCCACATGGTCAAGTCCACCATGGTGGCAGGAGGTGCATATGCTCTACCCACCATGGAACAGGAAAGTCCTCTTGTCTCATCGATGTGGAATGGAAGGGAGAGAACATTCACTGCACAATGTAGTTTACCACAATTCTCAATTTGTTTCCCCGGGTTTGCCAATCCTCATTTTTCATCTTTGACATCTCATTTTAAAGTAGTCTCAGGTTCCTGACATAAACCTTGCAGCAATTATGAGCATATTAGGGTTCTCCAGAGAATCAGAACCAACAGGATGCTTATCAATATATAAAAGCAGCAGAGTGCCGTGGCACATGCCCATAATCCCTGCAGCTTGGGAAACTGAGGCACAAGGATCACAAGTTCAAAGCCAGCCTCAGCAACTTATCTAACCTAATCTAAATAAAGTGCAAAAAAGGGCTGGGGATGTGGCTCAGTGGTTAAGTGCCCCTGAGTTCAATCCCCAGTACCAAAATACATACATATAAAAAGTGATTTATATGGGCTGGGGTTGTGGCTCAATGCACTTGCCTAACATGTGCAAGGTCCCAAGTTTGATCCCTAGCATCACGTGCACAAAATGTGGTTATGAGAGATTGACCTACATGATTTTGGAGGCGGCCCAGGAATGCTGGAGGTATGGTACCAGACCAAGTCTGAAGACTGGAAAATCAGGGGAGCCAATAGTAAGTCCCAGTCTGAGTCTGAGTCCAAAGGCCTAGAACCGGCCAGCATGGTGTCCAAAGGCAGAAGACAGATGGTCCAGCTGACAGTAAATGGATTATGTGATGTCCCCTCACACTGGTGAGAAGTCTTCTTTACTTAGTTTACTGATCAAACACTAATGTCTTCCAGAAACACCCTCAAAGTCACATCCAGAAATTGTTATATGAGCTGGGAATCCTGTAGCCCAGTCACGTTGGCATTTAAAGTCAACAGTCACAGGGAGGCATTCCTTCTGCTGCTTTTCTTCTATGTTGGCATCCTGTCTTTGACCCAGCAACCCAGAATTTGGCTCCTCCCCCCCCCCACAATATGGCATAGTTGTCACACTGTTTCAACAGTGTCAGGAACTGAGGGGCAGGAGAACCATCATATTCAACCACCAAATAGATGGTGAGAAGCACACAGTCCTCAAGAATCTGGAGAGCTGCAACGGCTAGGGACTGAATCTGTCTCTACCTGGGCAGAAATCACAGATGATGCTGTTGTGGTAATAGGATTGGAACATCTTCGAGTGCACAGTGGGCACACCCGTTTCCCACAGTTCACATATCCACACAAAGGAACTTAGTATTGTCTCTCTCTGACCTCTCCACCCCTTCGGAGGATGCGGGATGATTCACCTGATCCCATGGGCATCCTTGCTTAGCTCTGGGCTCCTCCCACATGCAACCAGTTTGCCCACAGCAAGAGGAGACCCCTACAGGAAGCTGGGGATGCTTGTCTAATGAGGTGAAGGAACAGCAAGACTGAGACCAATTTTTCAAATGGTCTAACAGTCATAAAGGTGTCATTTGATCCTCAGTTCTCAGATCCTGCACTACCTCTCCATCCTGAATTTGGCAAAAGAGAGGTGAAAATAATTGCCCCAAATCCCAAATTGACTGGGGCTGTGGATGTGGCTCAAGCGGTAGCGAGCTCGCCTAGCATGCGTGCGGCCCGGGTT